TAAATATCCGATAATAAAATAGATTTTTAACTCCTTTCTTAAAATGCTTTTTTTCTTTTGCTAATTTGATTCCAAATAAGAAAAAGATTTATTGATCTATTATTTGGAAATTAGTTCTTTTATTTGTAGATGATTTAAAATTATAATATTTCATTTATATTTTATAAATTTAAATAAAAAATATAAATATACTAGTGAATGTTATAGTTTATACTACCTTTTTTTATTCTTTTAATGTCTTGCAGCAAAATAAATGATTGAAATTTTTTGTTATGAATAATGGTAACCGTTACATTTTTAGAGTAATTTACCAAACCCAAATACTAAATATGATCTATTAATTGGATTAAAAATTTAAGCACTAATAATCGAATAAATTTTCAGAATAAATAATCTCAGTTGCTTTTTAATCTTAAAGTTGATCATACTTTTGTTGTTAGTAAATTTTTTCCTTTTTACTGGCTTGGCAATTATACTAGTCAAGGTCCCCAAAGGCACTAAGAAATCATAAAATATTGGGATAGATTTTAGAAATAGTGCATTCAAAAATTGCTAGCCAATTTTCACAGAGATTATTATATATTTATAAAAATAACTATGGGAAAATGAAAAATAATTAATAAGCATCTTTGCGGCCATCTGAATGAAATCACATTAAGCCGTGAAATCAAAAAGAAGAAGAAAAATATTATACCAATTAGGAGTACGCGAAAATACTCGCAAAAGATTGTTATTTTTAACTCGTGATCGATAAACAAATCTTCATTTTTAAAAAATTGGTGATGAAGGGAAAAAAACATAAAGATTTTCTAAATATTAAAAACAAATCTAGGATAAGAATATTGGATTTTTTATAATTAATTAGATTGCGCTAATTTTTTTTTATTAAAAAGGCATTTTATTTAACAATTTCAAAATATATAAAATGATAAAACACTTTTAGTAAAATGATAAAACACTAAAATATTAAAACAGTATTATAAAAATATATAAAATTACTAGATAAAAATAAATATATAAGGCTCTAAAAAGAGCTTGATTTAATAATGAATATGCACCTAAAAAGTAAATATAATTATGTTTAAATATTTCTAGTTAAAGTTTTATTCAGAGTCGTAACTAAAAAAATTTCTTTGGGAGGGGGTAAAATTTTTTTGCTTATTTTAATCAGAAATTGCATGTTCAACTCGTATTCAACCGGACATTACATATTTAACTCATTTTTTTTATCATTTTTAAAATAAGATTGACAAATTAAAATATGAATTATATTATTAAAATAAATAACAAAATATAATGTTGTTGGTAATTTGAGCCAATTTTAAAAACGGCTAACTCAATATTTTAGCCAGAAAAATATTGTCTAACCTCGAGATTTCGCTAATAGATGTTCAAACATTTGTGCCAACTATGACTAAAATCTTCATGTTTGCATAATATTCTTCTGAATAAAATATTGAATTACCATTTTTAAAAAATCGGCTCATATCGAGCCAATTAACAACAAAATATATCTAATTGATAAGACGATTAAGTAGTATTAATCATAAATGTTAAGCTATAATTTATGTAATATTAAGGATAATTTATGTAATATTTATATATTTTTTTAAAATTACACATCACTTCTAATTTTTGTGCGGTGGCTTGGCTCCAAATGCCACTCTGTAGTTTTGGCCCTGATTACATTTCATATCTTGAGATTATGGTAGATTTTTTTAGCCGAATAATTAACACTGATTTTTTGCACGAACGGTTTCACGTTTTTTTAGCGGTTATAAAAGATAAATAAATTAAAATATTGATTTTTTTTTTCTTCATCTATTATACAAATTTTTTTTCTGATCTTCATTCATTTAACACTATATCTTTATATTACCGAATGAAATAGCTGAATAATTAACTTATATATTAGATTATATAAATTAAGGAATGTAATGTAATATTAATATTATTATGTGATCAATTATTATAAGATATTTAAAAGTTTCATTTATTAATAAGGTATAAATATGGATTATAATTTATAAAAAAAAATATATCTACATAAATTGGAACATAATAGTATTTATTAGTTATAATATAATATATGTAATTTTAAACTATTTTATATTGAAAAACATAAAATAAAATAGATTCAAACCTTTCAGAGTTAGAGTTATAGGGTAAATATATAAAATTTTGATTAAAAAGCATATATCCACGCTGCTTGCACTTAAATGGCAATATACAAAATTATCTGAAAATGACGAATACTGATCAATCAAAATTAATTGTTAATCCTCAAAACAATTGAGATCCACCTCTTATGCAACGTTTTAAAATTTTTCAGAAGTTGCCACTTCAGTAGATTAATAATATGTGATAAAAAAAATTTCTATTGAAAATACTAGCATCTACATATAAATATAATAAATAATATATTGTTAACTTTTGTATGTGATAAAAAAATAAGCTTCCTTTTGAAATAATAGCTTCTATAAATATATTAATAAGCATATTTCTGCAAATAAACTCATAGTTTGAAGAGAAAAAAAAATCCAGTAATACTAATGTGACCGGCGTACGAAAGTTTGTTCAAATATTTAATTTGAATAATTGGTTAAATTTTTATTTAGTAATTTTTCTATTTTTCTTTATACAGCCTTTAGAATGCTTATAACTTAATTAAAAATATGTATGATTTCTTATCTGCTATACTCAACATTAGGATTTGAAAATAATGCCTAATATTTTAAAATGAATAAAATTGACTGGGAGAGGATTTTTCTTATATAACTCTTCCTTTTTTTGATTAACGGTGACATTAGTAACCATTATCAAAACTAAATGACGAAAAGGGGAAGGGTATAAAATTTTTTATCGACTACCTTGTAGAGAGGGAGTTTTATTTATTTTTCTTCTCTTTATTATAAAAAAAAAATTATAAATCAATATTTTGTCTAAAAAAAATATTTTCAACTGTAAGATTAAATAACTTGATAGGTGATCGCTAAGTTAAAAAATATGCCTATAAATACAAATATTTAATTGAAATTTGATTAGTATTCAAAAGGTATACATATTCAAAAGATATCTAGTTACATTATATCTAGTTACATTAAAAGAGGTAGCTGGCTGCCTATAATTATATTACAAAATTAACTAATCACGTTTACAAGTTATTTTCTAAATTATTTATATAATATAAACTAATCTTTAAATAGATTTAAAATATGTACATAAACAACTTAAGAAATAATTTCACTGAAAAAATTTATGACAACATAATATTTTTTTGGCTGAAAAAAAATATCAAATATGATATTTGTTTGTGCTAAAAAGCCTGATTTAAATCGATTTTTAAAAATGGGTTGATTAACGAAAATAATATTATGTAATCCTGATGATTTTGCCTAGATGACAAAAAGGCCTGGACATCTATTCGCCAAATCCTGAGGCTCACACCATATTTTGGCTAAAATATTAATGGGACCGTTTTTAAAAACCGACCAAAATCGTGCTATATAACAACACTAGATTTGCACCGAAAAATTATGATTTCAAAAAAAAAATTATACTTAATAAATTTTTAATTGACTTTTAAAATAGTTAAATTTTCAAAGTTAGTGCTTATAAAGAGTGCCATTTTTGTAAACCATATTAAGGTTCCCTAGACTACACAGTTCTACAGGAGTGCTTGGAATTATGTTTAATAACAGCAATAAATTTGGGAAATCATTATAATGAAGATAATAAAAGAGATATATAAATTTAACCCATTTTAAAAGTTGAAAAGTAAACTAGGTACAGTTATTAAAAAATATAAATAGTTATGGTTAACCGATTTTAGGTTTATGATGATATCCTTCATAAATATTTATATTTCCGGCTGTATTATTATCTCGCCTGAAATTCACAACATTTCCAATAATAAGAAAACTTTTTCATAATTCAAAAACGCCTCACTAATTTGTATATTGATTTTTAATTTATAGTTTACCCCCCCCTCCCCCCCTTCCTTACATTTAGAAATAAAGAAACACCATATTAAAGTTATTCCAAAAAAGGAGATATGATGCCAATAATGTACATGATATAATGTATATTTGTAATATTACAACTTACGAATTATATAACTTGATATTTTCACATTATACAATCACATCCCAAATATTTGGAAAAATATATCAGAATTTTTTTATAAAAAGAAATAAATATAACTAATTAAATGCCATCAAGATGGTCTGGTAAATCTTATCATAACCAATCTAATAATTTAATTCAATATATATTTTTTTTTTCTTCCCTAATCAGTAATTCTGAATTTAATTTTATGCCCTTTTTCTGTTGATCAATATTTATGTTAAAACTTATACCTACTATAGTTCCTTTTCCCTATAAATTTTTGTTTATATATCAGAGACCTGCGCCCGGCTATTTTAGGCTAGGCCCTGCCCTTTTTACGGCCCGGCCCGGGTTTAAAAATTTTAGGCTCGGCCCGGCCCGGTTATATTTAAAAAAATAAAAATAGGCTCGTCCCTGCCCGGGTATATTTTAAAAATTTAAAATAGGCCCGATCAGGGCTTAGGGCCGGGCCTGCAGGTCTCTGATATATATAATATTATATTTATATAATAAAAACATTATTAGTATTATAGGTTAGTGTGGCTCGGAACAGAAAGCCCAGCTCGTCTAGGGCCTGTAAATCTGTGCTAAATATTTTGTCGGGCAGGGCCAGAAATTTGCAATTTTTTTTTAAAGCTTACAATTTAGTAAATTTATATTTATTTTCCCTTTATAAAAAAATTAAAATGCGCGTTAGGCCCAAAAAAAATCTTTACAAATATTTACGTGAGCGAATTCGAGTCGGCCCGCGCAGACTTTTTCTAATAACTTTTAAGAGCCTTATAAATAATTTAGAATTTAAGCATATTCAGATCTCCTCTTTTTTCTTTTCCTTTCCATTTACTAATATTTTTAAAATATATATATATAATTTTAAAAAATAAACCACACAGGAAACATTCTGGCAGCCAAGAAGAGATTTTGTAAGTTATTTTCAAATTTTATTATTTAATAAATATGATAAAGATTTCTCTTTAAAATCATAATTTATTTTTTAAGAAACAATGAAAAATAAATATTAAATACATATATATATAAATAATTCTATGCTAATTATTATATAATCCATTTAAAACTTGTTTTTGTCCTTACTTTTTGGAGAAATATTATGCATATTTTTATTCTTTTTATCGATTTTGCATAAAAAAAAATTTTTTAAATAGGAAGGAATTTAATATTATTGATAATTAATAATATATTTAGGGGAAAAAAAATAATTAAATTTCTCCAATTATCAACAGATTATACATATCTTAAAATCTGTCTAATCAATGACCCAACCCAATAAACCATTATAACAATCCCATGTTGTTTGCCTATAAAGTTAGGGCCATCCTAAAATATTTGGTTCCAAAAACAAAAATGCTGCTATCTGCAAAAGGGTATTTTCGCCCTTTTCTAAAGTTTAAGACTCGATTATGATATATCATTGACCTAAACCGTTATTTATAACGGTTCAATTTGGTTAAGGTTCAGTGTGTAAAAAATTATAATGGTTACGTTTTGGTTACGGTTCTTAAGAAGAAATTTATAAAGGTTCGGTTCGGTTCAGCTAATTATAAAGGTTTATAAAGGTTCATTACGGTTAGAAATTTTTTTTTATAGAAGCAACACCATCTTCTAATTTATTTTTATTATAAGCATCTATGAATTATATATATAAAAAAAATATATAAGATTCAAAATAACTCATTTTTAAATATATTATTTGAACGTATAAGTAATATATTTTCTAATATAAATGGATTCCTTTTTGTTCGTTGTGACGATAACACAAATTTTAGCCCCTAAATAGCCCTTTCTAAAGAAACTTGTGTTACGTGAACCGCCAGTACTATAAGAGCAAGTTTATATAATTCTGGATATTCAAATTATTTTCATTTCTAAAATATAAAAACTGAACAGGTTTAAACCGGTTTGACCTTTAAGGTTCTTTTTATTCCTTCAAAAGATAATTATATCGGTTCGGTTACGGTTATGGTTCAGATATTTATAACGGTTTATAATGGTTTAACGGTTTGTTACGGTTCACTCCGGGTCCATGGGATATATCCACTCAACATCCTTTTTTTTCTAAAATATTTTGTTTTTTTAAAAATATATCTAATTATTAAAACAATAAAATTATATAAATATATATTCAAAAAAAAAACCAAATCGTCAGCTACTTTCTCTAGGAAGGTAGGAAGAAAGATATTCTCTTTCTCTCTAATTTAAATGTTATTAAAAAATATATTTCTTCAAAATTTTCCATCAGAAATCAGAAATTATAATTTTTCGGGAATTTTTCAGTCTATCTTTTTAGAATTTTATTTCTTGAATTTCATGATATAAGATTTAAAATTAAGCTTTTTGAAATATTCCAATTTCATTTCAGTATAATGAAGGTGAGGTGCTGCAAGCAGATATCGCTTTTTTTTGTATTTTATTATGATTTTTCGATTAAAAAAAGGCAGGGCAAGAAGGTGTGAATTTAAAAGTTTCATGAATTCTTAAATTTAATATATAGTACTTTGTCCAATAAAGTATCATTGAAAATTTTACATATTTAATATAATATTCATATGGTTTAAAATGATAATGTGCAAGCTTGAAAGATACATTACTAGGTAAAATAATATTAAAAAAATAACGCGGAAAATGTTCAAAGTTCTATTTATATAAATTATACCTGTTAATGATTAACAAATTATCATTCTATTCTAACTTCTATTTCTTCTTCTTCTTAGAATTCTTAAAGCCCTTAAGAATTATGTTTTTATTTTTTTTACCTGAAATTTAAATAAAAAGAAGCATATTTCATTATTTTAAGTAAATTTTAAATGCCAATTTTTTTGTAAATTTAAGTTTTCAAAAGTCATTCCAGTAATCCAACATATTTTTCGATCTTGGAAAAATCAACATATATATATGAACTCACAAAATTTTATTATCTTAAACTTAATCTAAAATAATGAGTTTTTTTTTAAAATTCAAGGGGGATATAGCAAAAATATGTTGAACTAAGGGTAGATGTTGATACTTTGGTCTCATGTACATATTCTTATAACGGCCACAATTTTATAGGGGAAAACCTAGCCCAATATCCTCCTTGGGGGTCTTTGAATTAGTTTTTAGAGGGCGGCCAAATTTATTTTCACCAAGGCCTGTCGAAAATCTTAGTATGTTCCTGTGCACTAAATAAAATCATACATTACAAAAGTAGTATGAAAGCAAAATTTTTGGCACAACCAGTGGACCTATCTTCAACCCCCCCTCTCCCCCTTGTCTATGCCATTGAGTAAAAGCGTTTTTTAAATGAACTTACAAAATACGGTTCAGGAAATAAAATGTTTAAATATAAAAAAATATTGTTCCCGAGCCTGAATATAGGTTTGCCTATGCAGGCCTCTGAATCATATAATTTTTAATATTAATAAGTTATACTTTAAATTATTTTTAAAATAATCTAATTTACAAAGTAAAGCACTATCATGACACGATACAAAAAAAAATGTGTATTAAATAGTCTAATTTTCATTAATAATTTATTAAATATTTATTGAATCTGTAATATATTCCTATTCATTATTTAATTAAAAGAAATCATTCTAAAACAAATCAAAAAATTTTGAAAATGTCATAATTAAGATTGGGTCATTATTAATTATTAATTAATTCTTCGAAAAAATAATTAAAAAATAATCTAACAAAAAAAAATTAATAATGTATATTATTTATTTTCTTTTAAATGATTTGGATTTTTATAAAATATTAATATAAAAAATTTTTTCCGATAATTTTTTTTAAAATAGTTTCTGTAATAAAACAAAGAAATTTAAAGGAATTTTTTAAAAAAAATATTTACATTTTTGCTTCTTTCCTGGATGAAAAATCTTGGCCTCAAAGAATTATTCAATAGTAGGTAAAAAAAAATAATAATAAAGAAAGGTAAGGAAAGGAAGGGTGGTTGACTGTTTAAATATAAATATTCTTTAAATTATAAAAGTTATAACTATGAATGAAAAAAACGAAAAGAGGCAATAAATTATTTTTTTTGATGCTTTTTTAAAATTTAAAAAACTCAAAATTTTAATATAAAATGAAAAAACCTTTTTTGAAAAAAAGTGAAAAACTAAAACATTATGATGGTATGCTGGATTCTGAATATGTTTCAATTTAAAAAAAAACACTTAAAATGATCTTTTAACTTTTTTTAAACGAAAAATCTTAAATAAGGGTTATTTAATTATTGCCAATTTTTAGCCTACCAATGTTTTTTCTTTTTATAAAGAAGGAGGGTTAACACCAATTCATTTTAAAAAAAAAATTTGATTGTAAATTTTAATCATAATTCTTGGTTAGGGAAGAAAGATAGGATTTGGTAAATTGGCGATAAAGATATAATTTCAATCTTATTTTCATAGGTTTGGGGTGTTAACTAAAGTCGAAAGTGTTAAAATTATTAATTTGTTCCTGATCCCATTGAAAAAATTCTAAGTATTTTCATCACGATAAAGCAACAATATAATTTTCTCATTTAATTAAACCCAATCTGCCCTGAATTTTTTTCCCCGGATTCTCTCGCCAGGTCTCTTAAATATAGATTTTTATTATAAATGTGAAAAAATAATAAGACAAAATAATTTAACAAAATTAAGTGGCACTTTCATTTTTACTTTTGTAAGCACTAAATTTTGAAAGAATATTGTTTTTTAATTTTTCAATAAACTCTACTGGGATTTATTTTACTTTTGTTTCGGCAAAATTATTTTCCTATTTTTTAAGAGGACAAAGAACTCTGAAAAGTAGAAGTATTGTATTTGTATTTATAACAATTTACTAATTTTTTTGCTTCTTAAAATAATAAAGATTTCGTATGTCTTTTCTCTTCTTATAATTATTAGATTTGTTCTTCTTTCGTTTTACATTCATTTCTCCTATCACTTATTACACGATTCATAAAATTTATACCGTAGTTAAAAAAATTTTAATGCTAAAAAAACTGGGAAACAAAATATTTAAAATGAAAAGATTTCCACCACCCGAAATCAAAACGCTTAAAGAAGGCCGGATAACAAAGGAGAATTTTACGGGAAATTATTTTGCGCAGTTTTTAAAAAATTTTTTACAAATTAATTTGAACATTTTTTTTAAAATACCAATTTTTACATTTTATGAGGCAGTCCTAACCTTCTAATCGCGACGTCTTTAAAAATAATTTTTGCTAGTATTTTTAACGCTGCGCGCCAAAAGATATATATTTTTTACTTTTCAACTGATTAAAAAAGAGTGGCCTTCGAAGTCAAATTTTTATAAGTCCTGAACCTTAGTTTGTTTTATTCTTTACCTAAAGTATATATATTGGGGATGAATCCTAAAGTGCATAATTTTTTTTTTTTTAAAAGAACAGCGAAAAAATATGCGCATTTCTATTAAAAATCAATTAAAATTGAAGTGAAACTTAATTATTTTGAAACCACTTCATTTTGATTAATTTTTCCGTGCCAATAAATTCGATCCATTTCTTAATGATCATTATATTGATCTTGTTTTTTTTAAAAAAAAAATTAATTATTTATAAAATATCTAAATAGCAAAATATGAGTTGTGGGGTTTCTTTATATTTTTTTTAAAAAAAAAATTAATCTTATACCTTTAAAATACCTTTTAAATTTTTTATTTGTATTTTATTTTTTTTCCAGATATTGATTAATTAAATCTTTACAAAAATTATAGAAAAGAGAAGGAATAATTAATTTGAAAATATATTTTTTTTCAAACTTTAAAAGTGGAAATATTGTTGAATTTTGATATTTGATAAATAATTTAATTATAATCACTAATAATATAAATAGTTGCTTATCTTGTGTTTAAATATATATCTCGGGTTAGGCCTTGTATTTAAAAAATCGGGTGCCTACAACATTAGTAAAAAATTTCA